CCCCCCCGTGAAGTCTTGAGCCTGTACCTCATCTGAGCCGCCACGAGCCTTGAGATTTCAATCCCCATTAATGTGTGGATGTTGCAGCTCTCTCTTATTTCCCATGGTGGGGATTCTGTAAGCCTTTCTCATAGGCAAGGCAGGCTTACTGCCAGACTGAGAAGAGCAATTAAGACAGCAAAATCTGGTAAATTAGAATAGTGAATTCCCAAATCCCTGAGAATGATTCCACAGGAGAGCCCTGCTATTGCATGTGAGATACTGTATCTGTGCTCTCGGCGTTGTCTGGGTGGGAATCAGCAGGGGTTGATTGATGGGCTGCTGCCATATAAACAAGCATATCTGGCCCCATTAATAAGCACGCCTTGCCTTGCTTCCGTGTAACACCAAGCGGGAGGTGGCTTCAGCAGTGGGGTATTACCTTGTTCTGCGCAGTGACAGTTATGGTCTCTGAACTTATCTGAAGATTCTTAGACTGGAGCCGGAAGACTTTTAATATGTAAAAATTACGTTGTATTCCATGAGACCTCCTCTGTCCACAGAGGTGAATAACTGTTCTGGTGTTCTGTTAGCCACAAGATTTTATCAGCGGGGTTATGTATTGGAAGAGCAATTAAAGAGTCTGATACAAAGGTCATGACAAATAACCTGCTGATTAAAGTAAAAAAAATACAGCTTTCTGCAATTGTTGCAGGTTGAATTAATACTTGTGAGGTCTGGGGATAATTCATCTTGGTTTGTAGATGAATTGGCTAAGCAAAATTATTTCCGAAGAGAAATTTCAATGTTTGCCTCAACAAAAAGACGAGAAAGAAGAATGGCTCCTTTTCAGTCCTTATCTGAAACCATAGCTACTGCTATAGGCCAAATCTTGGAGTAATTTATCCTCGACACATACAGTGCCTTGAGGAGTTCCAATGGGACAGGAAGGTAATATCTGAACTCATAAATATTCCAAAAATAGAGCCAGACTGTCTAGCTCAGACGTGTCCAGACAAAGAGTCCCATTGGCTTCTGCTCCAGTAAGGGTTCTGCCTGACCTACCAGGAAGATTTTTTCCACATTACAGAAAAAGAACACCATCAGGTAGAATAGATACATCACTCAGATGCAGGCTATGCCAAGGTACTGATGCCTTGTGCGTTTGCTCAAATAAACAGGAATTGTACTGGGAGAGCAATAAGAATCAGTTATTGGCCATTGTTTTTCCATTATACTTAAAACTCCCACAAAGCAACATAAAAAGTCAATCTTAGCTAATATGAAGATGTCCACTAACTGAGCTTTGCCTTGGCCTAGCCTGTTTCATCTGCTTAGTCAGACTGATGTTCATTCTCCATTGTGTAAGTGGTGTGGACAACTAGAATGTGAGATGAACAGTTCTGGAGCCTGTCTCTTCCTTAATCACATGAACACATTATCTTAAAAGCCTGCCTATTGAAAATGTATTAAAACACGCCCCAAATATATTCTTTTTTCAGGGCATAAAACAGACTCCTTTGTTGGACTTATGGGCAAAAGATCTTTAAATTCTGGTATGTATATGACTCAATCTGGTACTCGGGGATAGACAGTCTCTGCATTCTGTTGCCTCTTTGTTCTCTCCCAGCGATGGAGGGAACAGCCTTTATGTAGCGCAGACCTAGAGTTCTCTGAAAAAGGACTAGGATTTTCTTTATTAACCTAGGATATTTCAGGATCCACTTCACTCTAATGCTTGAGATGATCAGGCTGGTCTGAGCAGCCATAGTGCAGGCAAGGACAGGTAGAAGTCCCCAGGGCACTTTACTTACTGTCCCTGTCCGCACCAGCAGCATGTTCTGCTGGTCCCCAAATTGCTATTACAAAGAAAAAAAGAAAAAAAAAAATTTTACTGACAGATCAGGAAAAAAATCAGAGAGGAAAATGTAAAGCTTATTTGAACTTGTGATCCAAATCTCCCCCGACAAAGGGATACCCTCATTGTCTGGGCATTCCTCAAACTTGAGCAGGAGGTGAAAGAGCAGAGATCTGACATTAACACCACTTCATTATGCAGGTCAAGCTGTTAAACATTCCCAGCCTCCTCCAGCTTTTCATTTTATCTTAAAATGTTTTTTTTCTTTTTTTTTTTTTTAAAGACTTGAACTGATACTGTGACAACATAGCATCCATACAGGGCAGAATCCTCCTCCCTCAAAAGCACAATCTCTGTGGCTAACTGCAGACAGCCAGTAGCTCTACCTTCCCTGTGCTATAGGGCTGTAATGAGGAAATCCCTCGCTGTGAACCATAAAGTGCCAGTTAATTCCCCAGAATAGGAATTAAAAGATTAAAAAAACCCTAATGCGTATTTCACGCCTCTGAAATAGTTCTCACTGTTTTGTTAAATGGATGATAAAAGTTAAATTACTAGCTGACATCTTTATATTATGTGGATACACACTGTGATCTATATTCTGCAATTATGGTTGTCAGTAACTTTTATTTTCAATTAAACCCGTTTCAGACTAGTAATATTGCTCTCTGCATCATTTTGCAAATTGCTATGTATCCTGAACAATTTTGTACAATTTTATCTGTGGTGGCAATAGCTATTAAATGCATAATACCTGTAAATATATCTGCTATCACAAAAGTAAATAGCCTGGAAGTAATAAATTGGGTTTGGTTTCCATTGGGATTACATTTACATTAATGAGAATGTAAAATACAGCAAATGTTTAAAAAAAGGAAAGATTTGAATGTCCTAATTTCAAAATTGCTGGTATAGTTAGGATACTGTTGTGTGGTTTTTGTAACAAAGGGGAATAATGAAGTTTTGCCCTGTTGAGCTACATGATACCTGCCTGACAGGTAAAACCAGAATTCACTGCTTTTCTGCCTGATTCCCCGAGAGGAAAACGGTAAGAAGTTGCTCCTACTTCTCTGTGGGAGAATATAGGTCCAAGGGCTGTGTAATCAAAGCAAGATCAGGAGTGTGTGCTAGGATTGTCCTTACTTCCCCCTACTGAAAGATGTTTAACTGGGCAGGAGCTTTGCTTGGTGCTGTGGTTTCCTCCTCCTGCAGAAAGCCCTGCAGCAGTGTGTAGGAGCTTACACCGCTGCTGAGTGTGAGAGCAGTGCTGATTTAAAGCCTTGTGTGACATCCTGGTGTACTGGGATGGTGGTGTGTCAATTCCTGGTTTCATATAACAGGGTCTGACACAGACTGCACAGCTTGGGAGGCAGTCAATCAGATGAACGCTCCAGGTAGAAGCTAGAACACAGTCACATGTACAGTAAAGATACCGCAATAATCCACAATAAGAAAGAAAGCTCAACTCATTTTGTATTTAGCCTGGTGAAAATTGAAGTCTTATCAATTCAAGCGTTTCCTGACGCAGAACGCCAGCTCTCTGCAGGGTGCAGTGCTGACGGCCTTGCGCCCCCCCACCCCCCCACTAGCTGTGCATTGCATGCCATAGTCAGGCATGCATACGCTCCCTGAGAGCAATCCTCCCTTTGGGGTCGGAGCAAAGATGACTCTGGTGACCAGCTACATCACCCTGTAGTCAGGCTGTGCCCAAGAAGGGCTCTCTGGGTTTCCTTTTCATCTTAAAGGAGCAGGAAGGGGAGATCTACTGCTTCTAAATGTTAAAGATGTTACTGAAAACTATTTTAGGCTGTGATTGGTCCACAGGATAGTCCGGGGTTTGCTTAGCTCCTGCTGCAGATTTTATTAAAACATATGGCTTGTGGACAGGGAGGGCTTAAACCTGGCAAAGAGCTGACTATGCTGGACAGAAGGTGGCAATGTCGAAGCAGAAAGCCTCTACCCACAAATTGATCTGAGTACCAGATCCCATCAGTTAGATGGATTACTGGAACATAAAAATGCTTTGAGTTAATGGTGCTTCAAGCAGCTCGATAGACGAGAGGCAGAAAGCACTGCTCAGACCTTCCGCCCTCTGGAGGGTAGTGTGGTCTGAGGGGTAAACCCAAATCAAAGCAGCTCAGGGCTGTGCCAGGATCCCTCATCTCGGGTCCAAATGCTCCGACAGTGTCCAGTGGTGACTCGGCAGGCTGCAGGTCTCTGCCATTCCCTTGTGCCTGATGGGGTCTACACGAGGCTGCACCACATGCTTCATTCTGCTTTGTTTCTTGCAGGATCCTCTGAAAGCAGCGTAGCACAGAATTACGAACAGAGGCGTAAATGAGACATTCCTGTGCACTATTTATTAAACTTCATTTGTTCCAATGGCCAATGCAGTGTAATATAAACTAACCACTGTACGGAATAATTATTTATTTAATAATAACTGGGGGGGTTTTGTTTCGTTTTTGAGTTGTACATTCAATAAAATTATTATTTTTCATATTGTGGCAACGATAAGTGTTGTGTAGGTGCGTTGTGGTTCTGAAAGGACCAGCAACCCTGGTGACGTCTCACAACAAAGCACATTGTTTGATATGACCCGTAAAGTTATGTTCACTAAACAAAGAAAATATTCTTTTGTTCATTGAAAGTGAGCCTATCAGCTTCAGAGCCAGTGCAGAACAGAGCTGATGTACAGTCTAGTGCCTCAATTTGTTTTCATGGTTTATAATGTACTGTAATTTCCGTATCAAAAAATATATTTGTATCATTGCAGCATGTTTAATGTTTTGTGACTATGTATCTATATATTTTTAAAAAGGAGGGTGGGTAAGGTCTGAATGGGAATCCAAGGTCTTAATTTCCTAGTCTGGAATTTTATGATAGTAACATTTTAAATAAAAACTACTCTGGGGATTTTGCAACATACTTTCTTTGGTGATAGTGATGGAGTTATTTCCCACATTAGTCTGGAATGAGACTCAGATCCAAGCAACCGTGGTCTGAGATTGGGAAGAAATACCAAATTAATGCCACCTTCTTGCAGGGAGGCTGTGAGCCTCTTAGTGTGGTTTGGTGTTTGGGGGATTTGCTTTTTTTTTCCTGGGATTGCTCTAGGTCATACAGGGTGCTGTCCATCCTAAACATGATGGAAATCAAAAAGTGTGTTGACTGAATGAAAGGGCCTAATGTATCCCCAGCTCCAAGTGGAATAACTTAACGTGGACTTCATCCACTATTGCAGGTTTATGATTTGAAAACCAAGCTTTTAATACATTCTAGCCCTCAGATTCACAATAAAAGCACCTGTTGGCTTGAATCCATGCAATATAAGAGGAAAAAACCTGAATGCAATTATATTTTTAATTAAAATGTCTGGTTACTATATTTCCAGGCCAGCCCCAAAATGCTGCGTACATCTCACCAGATGCCAAAGCATCTGGAGGTCTATATCCTTTCCCCCAGCTAAAAGCTACAGTTCTCTGGTGCTATCGTACGAGCTCTCATCACAGATGAATCAGCAGTGAAAACAGCCAGCATATACAAACCACATTTCAAAATAAGTAATACAGAGTGAGTTACTGGTGGTTGTTTTCCATTTTGGAAGCAAACTCAGCAACCTCCATTTGGAAGGTTATCTGGGGCACCCCCACAACTGCACCCATGAAGAGCAGGTGGGCGTAGGACCTTCCTCCTGCTAGGTAAGGAGCAGCACCTAAGCCTGCCCCTGCTTAAAATACACCCAACTTCCAATTAAGTAGGAGCCTGGTCTAGGGAGGTGGAGGGCTAGACTGTGGGAAAACTGAGGCAGACCAGTGACAGGGACCAGGCTCGTATGAGACACAGTGGCTGTACTGGTGTTCTGCCAGGTCTTCATCTTGCCAGGGCTAATTTTCAGACTAATAAACTCTTGTATTAGCTCCGGCTGAGCTCAATGAGGGGGAAGCTGACTGCTGGGCAAACAGCACGACAAAAGGACTGTGAAACTGCATGGTGAATAATGAATGCTTAGTGAAGGGTAACAAGAAAGAGGAAGCTTTAAAATGTTGTTCCCCGACCCTGGAGGCTGACGGTGTTTCCAGAGCTCACAGTCTGTGTACACTGAAATGTGAGCCAGACTGAGGAAAGAAAAAGCCCTACTGCTTGCTCCCTGGAGCCTGTGCATCTCACAAACCTCCCCACAGAAGCAACCTCTGCAAACATATTTGCATCCAAAGAAAGCCACACAAGACAGAGTGGGCTTTAAGTGTTTGGAGGACAGCATAGGTATTAGTTAACAGGATCCAGCAAAGAGCTGGGACTGAATTGGGTTGGAAGGCACCTCTAGTCCAAGCAGGGTCATCTTTCACTAGGTCAGGTTTTTCAAAGCTCCATCCAGCCTGATCTTGAACACTCCATGGATGTGGCATCCAAAATGTCTCTCTGCAACCTGTTTGAGGGTCTCACCACCATCATTGTAAAGGATTTCTTCCTTACATCCAATCTAAATCTACTCTCAGTTCAAAACCAGCACCCCTTTTCCTGCAGGTCCTGGTGAAAGGTCTCAGTCAGTTTTATAAGCTGCCTTTAATATTGAAAGGCTTTGATAAGGTCTTCCTGGCACCTTCTCCAGGCTGAACAAGCCCAATTCTCTCAGCCTTTCTTCATAGGAGAGGTTCTACAGCCCTCAGATCATCTTTGTGGCCCTCCTCTGGACTTGCTCCAACCGGTCAATATCCTTCTTATGTTAAGTGCTCCAGAGCTGGATGCAGTACTCCAGGTAGGGGTCTCACAAGAACAGAGTAGAGGGGGAGAACCCCCTCCCTCGACCTGCTGGCCACACTTCTACTGCAGACGTGGATACAGTTGGCTTTCTGGGCTGCCAGCGCACACTGCCAGCTGATGTGCATTTTTTTCATTCACCATTACCCCCAAGTCCTTCTCCTCAGGGCTGCTCTCAATCCCTTCATCTCCCAACCTATACTGATACTGGGGGTGTCCCTGACCCAGGTTCAGGACCTTGCACTCAGGCTTGTTGAATTTCATGAGGTTGGTAGTGGCCCACCTCTCCAGTCTGTCAAGGTCCCTCTGGATGGCATCCCTTCCCTCCAGCGTGTCAACTGCAACCACCATTTTCTCTAGAAGGAAAGGCTAACCCTCCAGCATCAAAATATTCTCCTGTTAGTGGGTATCTGAAGAATGTTTTTCATTTGGCATTTGAAACAACTAATTTCAGTTTCTGGTGGCATAATAATGTCAGGTTTGCACTAATTTAGGTTTTGAGCAATAAGATTAAAATTGGCATTGATTTATATCCTTGCGAAGACATATATTCCAAGATAGAAATAAACCAAACACAAGCCAGAAGTCACTGCCTGAAATGTTCCAACTAATTCTACCAACCACAGAACCCCACCTCCCATCACATTTCAGCACTGGGGACCATTCGGCCGAGCCATGCCACAGCAGGGCTGTGGGGCTAAGCCTGCCCAGCAGACCTGGAGCAGACCTACAGACCACACACATATGCAGATATCCATCCCAATAGCTGCCCATCCCCACTGCAGGCTCGCTCCTGCCATCCTCCTAGCACAAACATTTGTCGTCACAGACATCCTGATGTCCTGGAGACTCAAACAGGAATTCTTATTCTCCTATCTTTTTTCAGTCTTTAGTAGTAAGCAATACAGTCTATATGTTATTCAGTACTTCAAAGGGACTTCTTAATAATTTCTGTGGTCTTTAATCTCTGCTTTGAGGCTCCTTCGGCTTTTAAACACTTCTGTGCGTTGGACAGCATCACTTGCAGCCCCGAGCCACTTGCGTCTTGGATCTCTGGGCAATGCCAGCTCCACTGCAGGTTTTGGAGAGGCTTTTGCTAAATCCCAATATCTCTGCAACAGCCAGCCACAACTGTGACATAGCCTTAGCTCTGCTTTGATGGCTACAGTCTTCACCCCTCAGGCTGCGTAAGCTAATCGATAGCGCTGCACCAAGGGCATCAGCCAGTGAAATGCAAGCAAGTTTTAAATAAATATCTTTCTAGGAAATCAGCACTGGGAGTAAACCCACAGCGATGCTGCGGATTGTCCCCACTGGGGAGGTGCTACATACAGTTTGACACCAGAGCCCACCTTCAACATGCTCTGCCCCCTTTTTGCTTCTCTTTTCCCACATAAATACATCTTTCATCTGCATCACTGCAGGCAGCTGCTCTTCTGGTAGGTCCTGTCTCCCTCGCACACATAGGCACTCCCCTTCCCCCAGACTTGGGATGCTGAAGTCAGGCTGGCAGCACCCTGCCTTGCCCAGGCGTGACCCCAAGGACCATCAGCTCCATCCATCACTTCCATCTCCCTGCTGTCGCATAGATGCTGGTCCCCCATCACACAGATACAGACAAACTTATCCTGGGGACCAAAAGCCATAGTGTACCCCATGAACCAGGGAGCTGGGAGGGGGGTCTGGCCCCCTGTCTTGCACCTCACCAGCTTGGGCTCTGCAGTGCTTGCCCACTCGGCTGCTGGGAGTGAGCCCTCTGCTGTGTTCACATCAGAAGGCTGGTATTTTTTTAGCACGGTCATAAACAAAAGTAAAGGAAGAATCTGGAAATGTCTGGGCAAGGAGATCTTTGCAGGGAACCCAGCCCCCAGCCATCGTTAGCCAGAGCAGAATAACACCAGGAGGGTTTTTTTTAATTATTAAAGTGATTCTTAAAAATGCTGTTTATTCAGACTATGCCAATAACAGCAACTTTAGAGATACCAAGAGCCATTATTTAAATATTTAGTCCCTGTATCTTCTTAAATTACAGCTTAGATAACTCCTTTAGCATAACGAGGTACCAAGCAAGTCCCAGTGCAAACTTTGGTAATGACCAAATTTTTTTCATGGTGAGCCTGAACATTCCCTTAGCCGTAATATCACAGATTATGTTAAGGAATGTCTCCCGGAGTGCCAGATGAGAGCACACAGTGGCTTCTTCCCTGGAGTTGTACTGTGTCAGGATGCAGCCGCCTGCAATTCTGGGGACAGCTCTGTGTCCTCACAATACCTCCAAACTGGCTTGTTTTCATTTACAGAAAATAGTCTTTACTGGAAGAGTAGGGAGTTTTGTTGGTTTTTTTTTTTTTTTCCTGTTAGCAAGTGTACAAATGTCCTTAAATGTATCCACATCTATCAGGGAAGACAAACAGACTCTCTTAGCATTATTCTCTTAATGTTTTTGAAAAAGCATAGACTGAAGCATTTGTCAACAGGAGGGGCATCTGGGCTGAGTGAAATTCATGATGATATTAATTAAAAAATTATCACTGCTCCATCCCTGATAGATATTTGGTTTCTGTCAGAATAAAACAGCAACTCATCAGCTCAGAAACTCGTTTTTAATGAGAGGTATGCAGAGCGCATGCAATAAACCTCACCTCGTTTTCTATCAAATTTTGATCTATCAATATCACCACCTACTGCATATAGAGGAAATGAAACGTGAACAGGTTGTTAAAAAATGAAACCCTTTATCTGTCACCGTGCTTCATGCTCCCCCAGAAGCCTGGAGGGAGGAAGCCCAGCAAGGTGAAGAGGCTTGGCCAGAAGTAACGACAATGGTTGAGCTAGAAATGCAATGCACACCCTGTACCTGCACTGGGACTACACCCAGAAATAGAGATGCTCCATCTAGTTAAAAATAAGACCTCTGGGGCAGCCCAGAAAAACTGTTTTCAGCGCAGCTCTGTGTTGTCTGGCACCGAGAGGAGGAGGGCTGGGCTGAATTTGGCAGCATGGGGACGAGGGGGCTGGACAGCCTTTTGCAGTGGTGCTCTGGGACCATGCCAACACCCATGGTGTGGTTCCACCTGCAGCTCCAGGACTCTGGACCACAGTACCTGCTGCTCTGCGCACAGGTTTTGTGCCGCACCGGCTGATGGTTTGAGTGACCTTGCTTTC